GCTTCCGGCAGAATTTTATAAAACACTACAAGAATCGCTGAGCCTTCCATTGCTAGAAGTCATGAATGAAGTTATGGCAAAGACGAAGATACCTAAAACTTGGTCAGAAGCCTATATTACACTTATTCCAAAAGAAGAGGCTGATCCATTGCAAATTAAGAATTATAGACCTATTTCTTTACTAAATGCAGACTATAAAATATTTGCTTCAATTTTGGCAGAAAGACTTAAAAAATACTTAAATAACTTTATTTATGCAGATCAAAATGGATTTCTGCCAAAGAGACAAATCAAAGACAATATGAGAGTAATTCTGGACACTTTGGAATATTATGAGGCACATCCTGAAAAGCAAATGGCTTTGATATTCTTAGATGCGCAAAAGGCATTTGATAATGTGAATTGGAGATTCATGTTATTATTATTGGAACAGATGGGTTTCGCCAGAAAATTTATTCAAGCAATAGAAGCCATATACTATAAGCAAACGGCAAAGGTAATGATAGAGGGAGAATTCACAGATTCTATTAATATAAGAAAAGGTACAAGACAAGGATGACCACTATCACCTTTGCTATTTGTATTAACTTTGGAAGTGTTGAATAGAAATGTTAGAGATGATAAAGGTATAAAAGGAATGAAAATCAAAAAGGAAGAATTTAAATTGCAAGCTTTTGCGGATGATTTGGCCTTTATTTTGGAAGACCCTTTAGAAACAGCTCCAAAATTATTGGAAAAGATAGAGACTTATGGTGAGGTGGCTGGTTTGAAAATAAACAAAGATAAAATAAAGATTTTGACAAAGAGTATGTTAATAAGACAAAGAGAAGAACTGGCAGATCTATTGAAAATTCAAGTCACGAATAAGGTTAAGTATTTGGGGATACACTTGACACCAAGATGTAGTACATTAAAAGAGAACAATTACATTAAACTTAAACAACAGATAGCATTAGACTTGATGAAATAGGAAAACCTACAATTGTCATTAATAGGGAGAATCTCAACAATCAAGATGAATATCCTACCCAGAATCTTATACTTGTTTCAAACAATACCAATTAGGCTTGGAAAAGACTATTTTGAAGACTTAAATAAAATTGTCTTGAAGTATATATGGCAAGGCAAGAAAGCGAGCATAAAGTTAAAACTTTTACAAGATGCTAGAACTGGAGGAGGATTTGGTCTGCCTAATTGGGAGTTGTATTACCAAGCTACAAATTTGATGTGGGTTAAGGAATGGATAACATTAAGAAATACTAGATTGTTGACATTAGAAGGACATGATTTGCTGTTGGGGTGGCATGCTTTTCTATGGTATAAGGGAACTAAAACACAGGGGTATTTTAGAAGACATCATATACGGGAGTCTTTGTGGTTAAATTGGGAGAAGATTAAAAGACAATGTTATTTGAAAATCCCAGTTTGGTTATCGACTATTGAAGCTTTTTCCTATCCTATAATATATAAGAAGGAACAAACAGTTAGATATGGGGAAATATTGGATGAAATGGGTGAACTTAAATCGATGCAAAACCTAGAGGAACAAGGTATAAAGATGAATTGATTTTCATATGCGCAAATACATTCAAGGTATGATGAAGATTTTAAAACAGAAGGATTCTATGATAAATTGACTGATTTAGATAAGATTTTGACAGGTACTGATGAAAAGGTGATTAAAAAATTATATGGTTATTTATTGGAAATTAAACTAGAGGAAGAACAAGTTAAAGAAACTATGATTGCTTGGGGGAAGAATTTTGGATATGGGATTGATTTAACGAAATGGCAAAAATTGTGGACTCAAAATTATAAAATGACAATGCCAACAGCATATAAAGAAAATTTGTATAAGATGTTTTACAGGTGGCACTTTCCCCCGACAAGAATAGCAAGAATGTTCAAGAATAAATCTGAAAAATGCTGGAAATGTCATCAGATACCTGGCTCATATTACCATATGTGGTGGACTTGTGAGGACGCTAGAAAATACTGGACTAAAATTCGCATGTGGTTGGAAAAAATGACAAAAAAACATATAGATTTGAAACCAGATATCTTTTTATTGGGAATCTTACCTGATACATATAGTAAAGATTTGAAATACCTGATTGTAAATGTATTAACAGCGGCTAGGATTGTATTTGCTAAAAAATGGAAAAATGAGAAAATACCATCGCAGGGAGAAATCATTAAGAAAATATTGGAATATGCTGAAATGAGTAGATTGACATTTGAAATTAGAGAACAAGAGGATAAACAATTTTATAAAATTTGGGACCTTTTCTATCAATGGTTAGATAATAAAACACAATAATAGAATATCTAGAATTTCAGAAAATAATGAATATATAAAGATATATTTCTTTTTTTTTTTTTGATATATCTATAAAATGTTTTTAGGATAGATTTGGTATGATTATATGAATTGTTATAAAATAAACTAAGTAAATTATAGTTATCTCGCAAAGTATGAATGAATAAAATTATAGTCAAATGATTGTTTAATAGTGATACTAGGGTATTTAATTTTTGATTGATAATATGAGTTATTATGTAATGTAACTGTAATTGAGACTTTGAAATGGATGCACAAAAAATTGGTAAACCAACTGACACATTGCTTGTATATTTATGAAAGAAAGCTGGATGTTTTTATATTTTGTTTGTTTTGTTTGTCTTTAAAAACCAATAAAATTGTTTTCAAAAAAAAAAAAAATCCAGTTCCGAAAGAAACTTCCTGGAAATCTCTTCTCAACTACATTCCCAGAAAGGGGGGGGGGGCATTAACATGTTGCTTCTTTGTATTGACAAAATCCACACCAGACTAAGGGGAGGGGTTCAAACTCCCTTTATCTAAGCTGCATGCCTGGAAGGATATCAGACCCTGCTTTGAATCTGACATGCTGTCTTCCTTTTCAATAAAGAATTCCTTTTGAAATACCCAGTTTTCAAAAGTTGATTCTTATTGTCTGAAGGGAAGAGAGTCTGGTCCTTACAAGCGGGGGTGGGATTCAGTTTTTTTAACAACCAGTTCTGTGGGCATGGCTTAGTTGGTGGGTGTGGCTTGGTGGTCATGTGACTGGTGGGCATGGCCAACTCGACATCACTCATGTAAAGGGGCTCTTCTCCTCTCCTGGCCTCTCATGACAGTGGGGATGCTGCAATGGTCATAAGTGTGAAAAATGGTCATAAGTCACTTTTTCAGTGCCATTGCAACTTTGAATGGTCACTAAATGAACTGTTGTAAGTCAAGGATTACCTGTACAAAAATACAAAAAGCTTCTTTGCTTGCAAAAAGCTGCCCTAAATACCAAACGTTAGATTAAAAATACCTGCAAGCCAAAGTTACAAATCAGGCAGGGTGCCAGAGCACCTTGAGGAATGAAAACAGTTAAAATGCAGTGATAACTATCAAGCAGCCATCTCTTGCTCATAAAGTGAAACCCTTTAGCAAAGAGGTCATTTAAGCTCTCCAGAAAAAGCACACCCAGGAGAAGCAATCCTTAGATCCATTTGCACCACTTAAAGACACCAGCTGGTCTCACTCACCTCACAAGGTTTCCTAAGGAAATCAGCCAGATTTAAGGAAAGGTCACATGGCCCCCAGAAAGGCAGTAAAAAAATCAGTGCCAAGTTTGCATCCTGCCTTGGGAAGTATACCCCAAAAGGACAGTGCCAGACAGTATTAAAGCAGTGAAGGAAGACCCCCTCCCCAGATAGAAAAAGAAACCATGAGGCATGAAAAATTCAAACACAGTACAAATACTTAAATCAAAACAGTAGCTGTTGCTTGTTGAAGCTGAATAGGGAAAATTATCCCACCAATAAACACAGGATTAAACTTCACCAAGTACAGAATTAACCTTCACCAAAAACCAGTTTTAGACCAAAACTCAAAAACTCATGTTTGAATGTCAATCTTTCTAGCTAGCCAAAAAGCCTTGCTGAATGTCACTCATCTGGGTTCCCTGTCACTAAATTTAAGCTTTGCTTCATTATTCAGTTATTTCTTCAAAGTGCTGATTGTCCAGGGAAGTATTTCCTCCCAACAGCAGTGTAAAAATCTTAAACAACCCTTCCCTGTTAAGAAAGTCAAGCCTCAGAAGCTCTGGAGACAGGAAGTCTAGGCGTACTGCCAAGAATGTAATAAGGGTGGAAATGAACAAAGGGAGATTGCTTCTAACTACTGGTTCTCTGAACTGCTTAGAAAGTTAATCAGGGGTTCATCCTATTATGGGGTTTAGGAGAAGCCCTAATTTGATATCTTTCTCTTGCTTTTATGGCAACATAATAAGAAGCCAGAGAGGATGAAACCTCTACAGAGATGTTTATGTAATAAAAGACAAAGGATTTCTGTGCATCCACATCACCTCATTCCACCCATGAAAATTTTTCCACTCAAAGATATTTTAAAATATTTTTGTGTTTCACAGAATAAAGGGTCTATCAATAGGGGGCATGCATAAGCGCACCAACATGCCTACCTTCCCTGTCCTATTTCTTTTATTTTTTTATTTTTTTTCTTATATGTATCCATGTATTCATAGCTATGTTTTTACTTATACCTATTATCTTGTAAGCAATTGACAAATAAAAATAAATAAATAAATAAAAATAAATAGGAGAAAGATAGGGATATGGATATGTGAAGCAATTATTATATTTCCATGAAACGGTTTTTCTATTTCTATTTCAGCGCTATAAGAATATGATTCCAGGGGAAAAATGAGAATTAGTGAAAAAGAAAATGAAAAATGAATAACTCCTTATGTGGATGGGTATATTTTTCTTCTAATTTTTTTTGAGGAAAAAGTATTTCCAACGGTTCTAAATATATCTAAAATAGTTTCCTGTCAAGAAATGCAATGAACTTTGTACTGGCTTTAAGACTTTTTTAAAAAGCTTTTAAGATTACAGGTTTTGAATCAAACTGATGTGTCAAATAAAAGTACAAGGGCTATACTTCCTAAAATACTATAATTATCTTTGTCCAGGAATGCCAAGTTACAACCTGGAGACCAAGCATTTTGTTGAAAAAGGATACTCTTGTTATCCGGGAGGTCACAGAAGATGACATTGGAAATTACACTTGTGAATTAAAGTATGGACTCTTTTCTGTCAGAAGAACCACAGAATTAACTGTTACAGGTAATTAAGTAAAATTGTTACAGGTTTTAAGTAATATTTTTGTTGTAGATCACAGCCTCTTTTCTTTTTATTAATGTTTTAGCAATTCACAAAGGTGTGTTTAAAAAAAGAGTGTTGTGGAGCGGCAGAATAACCTGAGGCAAACACGGAGCGAACTTCAGCTTTTACTTTATTATAGCAATAAAGGGTTGCCGCGGCTGCCGCACTAACAAGGTAGCCAGCCGGCAGACAACAGCTGATGCCATTTGACAGCTCCCTTTTATAGCCGGCTGTCAAACGGCATCAGCCAAAAGGAACGGTCCGTGTTCCCGCTGGAAACACAGACCGGTGTGAAGACTTCAGCTCAGTCTTTTCCGAATGCCACACTCCTTTTCCCCAGAATGGAGCATGCGTAGTCCTTCAGATAACTCGGGCGCTTGCGCAGGCGGCCAGATCTTCTAAGTCCTGATGAAGCTGCTGCTGGAAGGAACTTTTCTGCTTGCTGGGCAACTTCTGGTGCCGACGAAGCTGGTGTCTCGGCTTCAGGCATTTCTGGGCGAGGGACAGATGGCTGTTCAGGTAGGCTTGCATTCCTGTCGGATCCGAGGGAAGTTTCTTTGGCCGCCGGCAGTTTCTCTGTTGCAGGAACGTCTTGAGGGCCATCTGCAGACACACTCCAACGCCTTCTAAGCTGATCGATATGGTGGCGCCAGATGCGCCCGTCTTGCAGTTGGACCCTGTAAGACTTAGGACCAGTTACCGCCACAATTTGCCCAGGCATCCACAAAGGGTGTGCCGCATAGTTCCGGGCATAGACCTGGTCATTCTCAGCGAACTCCCTTGCCTGGCTTTTTGACCCTAGAGGTGTGACTGGGGCATAATGCGGATGGAGTCTGTCTAGGGTGGTCCTCAGACGTCTACCCATGAGAAGTTCAGCCGGAGACCTATTAGTGGTGGCACAGGGAGTTGTGTGCTGGGTCAGGAGATACTTAGCGAGCCTAGAGTGCCAATCTATAGGCCCAAACCTTGCCAGGGCCTCCTTAACTGATCTGACTGCCCTTTCAGCCAGGCCATTACTGGCAGGATGAAAAGGAGCTGTAAGTGCGTGCCTTATTCCTAGGTTGGCTAGGAAGACCTCAAACTCACAGGAAGTAAACTGGGGGCCGTTATCAGACACGATGGTGTCAGCGAGGCCATGGGTAGCGAATATCCTTGATAGAGCCTTAGTGACAGCTTCTGAAGTTGTGGTGGTCATCAAGGTCAGTTCTACCCATTTAGAAAAAGAATCAACCATCACCAGGAATGTACGCCCATGAACGGGGCCAGCCAGATCAATATGCACCCGGGACCAAGGGGCCACAGAATCTTCCCACCTGCCTGGAGTGGATGTGGGTGGAGCAGGTCTGGTAGCTTGGCATGGCTGACAAGCATTCACCCAACTTGTAATCTGAGCATCCATGCCTGGCCACTATACATAACTGCGAGCCAGGGCCTTCATCCTGACAATGCCGGGATGGCCCTCATGCAGGACCTTTAAAACTGAGTCTTGCAACTTGGAAGGGATAACTACCCTCATTCCCCAAAGTAAACAGCCTTGCAAAGAAGATAGTTCTTGCTGGCGAATTTTGAAAGGCACGAATTCGGGGGCATAAGGAATTGTTGGCCACCCCCTTCCCACCCAGTCAAGAACTTGGGCGATTACCTTGTCCCTGGAAGAGTGGGCAGCGATATCGAGGGCAGTGATGGGGAGTTTGAGATCGTTGATCTGGAAAACAGCATTAGTTGGTGCAGGATCCTCCACAGGAACAGGCAGGGGGCAGCGACTAAGAGCATCAGCGTGGCATAGACTCTTGCCAGGTCGATGAACCAGTGTATAGGAATAGGCAGCCAGAAATAAGGTCCACCTGGTCATTCTTGGAGACAAAATCTGAGGAGTTTGTCTTTCGCCAGACAGAAGGCCTAACAGAGGCTTGTGATCTGTGATCAACTCGAAATAGTGTCCATATAGAAACTCATGGAATTTTTTGACAGAAGCCGCTGCAGCCAAAGCCTCCTTGTCAATTTGGCTGTAGTTGCGCTCAGCTGGGGAAAAAGTTCTGGAGAAAAAGGCAATGGGTGCCTCAGAACCATTAGGCAGTCTATGACTTAAAACAGCACCTATGCCAAAAGGAGAAGCATCTGCTGCTAAAACTAAAGGTAAATGTTCATTAAATTGTATCAGGACAGCATTGGATGTAAGTAATGATTTGACAGCATGGAAGGCATGGGCTTTCCTAGGTCCCCAGTGCCAGGGGGATTGCTTGTCCAAGAGTCTGTGCAGAGGCTCTGCAATGGAAGCTTTATGAGACAAAAATGAAGTGTAAAAGTTAAGAAGTCCCAAAAAGGCCTGGAGCTCAGTTTTGTTAGTTGGCGTGGGTGCCTCGTGAATAGCCCTTACTTTGGATTCGATTGGGTGAATACCAGAGGCGTCAATTCTGTATCCCAAAAATTCTACTTGTGGGGTGGCAATAGTGCACTTGTCTTTCTTTAACTTAAGACCATGCTGACTGAAACGATCGAGGACTCCTCTGACTCTTTGCAGTAACTGAGATTTGTCAGGGGCAGATATTAAAATGTCATCAAAATACAGAATTACGCCCGGTAATCCTTGAAGAAGTCTTTCCATTAAGGATTGGACAATTCCTGGGGCTACACTTAAGCCAAATTGGAGGCGCCTACATTTGAAAGTGCCCCTGTGCGTTACAATAGTTTGTAGTTCAGCGGCTGTGTCATCAACAGGGAACTGTTGATAGGCCTGTGACATGTCTAATTTAGCAAAAATGGTTCCTGGCTCAAAAGAATGTAGTAGGTGCTGGATAACAGGGTCTGGATAGGCGCTGATTTGTAAATATTTGTTCAATGACGTCTTGTAATCCACGCAGATTCTTACACTCCCGTCTTTCTTCAGGGGTGTCTCTATTGGGGTTTCCCATTTTGCGAAGTCCACAGGCTCTAATACACCTTGTTTAATTAATTTGTCAAGCTCCATGTCTAATTTGGGGCGGATTGGTACTGCCTGAGGGTCCAAGTTGAAAGATATTGGGGTTCCTGAATAACAGCCCAGCCCCTCGCTGAATACATCAGCATAGTCATTAAACAAGGTGTCCACTTCAGCATTTGTAATAGAGTGGATTCCACTTATATGGAGGCCAAGGGCATGGAACCAGTCTAACCCCAACAGGCTAGGGAGGGTACCATCCACTACCACTAAAGGCAAGTGACCTTTAAAATTTTGAAATTGTACAAAAAACTTGCCTTTTCCGATGACTGGGATGGCTCTGCCTTGGTAGTTGTGTAGGGTTAACTGGCAGCCGTGAAGCTTCTTCTTAGCCACTCTGGGAAGTAGTTGTTTCAAGGTGCTCCATGAGATGATGGACAGTGCTGAGCCTGTGTCAACCTCCATCCTGCAAGGTTTTCCTTCTATAGAAACAAAAACACTAATTTTGTTAGAGCCTTTGTTAGTCAGCTTGGCTTGATAGCAGGTAAAACAGTCTTCAACTTGTTTTGGAAATGTTGGGTTGTCTGAGGCTTTTGGGCAAAAGTCTTTCCTGCTTGACAGATCCTGGCTAAATGACCCTTCCTTTGGCATTTTAGACAAATGGCATTCCTGAACTTGCAGGATGCCCTGAGGTGGTTTCCCCCACAGCTTAGACAAATGGGCTGATGCCGTGGAGGTAGATTGGGGTTTGGCCTGTTTTCCCCTTGACTGGTTTTTTGCTGCCTGAGGCTATTTACATAATTAGCCTCTTCATAGCCTTCTTCTGAGGAGGCTTCATCGTAATGGATGGCTGAGCTGCCCTGGCTAATTGGATTTCCCTGAATTTCTGCTGCTGAAAGTGCTGATAGTTCAGCAGCTTGAGACTCTTCAATTGCTAATTTAAGGGTTAAATCCCCTTTAGCCAATAGACGCCTTTGTAGCCTTAAATCCCTGACTCCACAAACTAATTGGTCTAATAACATGTCTTCCAGATAGTCTCTAAACCCACAATGCAAGGCAGCTGTTCGTAGGGCAGCCATGTACCCACTAATAGTCTCTCCCTCAGCCTGAATCCGTCTCCTAAAAGCATGACGCCTGGCAATTTGGGATGGCTTAGGGGAATAGTGGTTGCAAAGAATTTCCTGCAATTCTTCCCATGGAACAGTCTTAATTGAATGTGGAGCCAATAATGCCGTAGCAGTGTCAAACGCTGTGGCTCCGCAAAAACTTAAAAAGTAGGACTTTTTCCTATGGTCGGAAATGTCAGCAAGGTCTATGGCATCTAGGAAACAGTCAAATCGGTTTCTGTAGGACTCCCATGTTTCCACTGTCAGTCTGAAAGGCGGGAATGCAGGGTTTGAAGTCATCTCAACTCAGCGGTGCCGGATCTTTCGAGGTAAGTTGAAATTCGCGCTCGCGAATAGTGACAGTAGCTCTTAAAGTGACTTTCAGCTCGGTAGTGACTTCGACTCTTTTTGTAGTGACTTCGCTCAGCGATTCTTTGCCCAGTTGCCTCTTATAGGTAGCCCGTCCTCGTCTCCAGTGTTGTGAAGCGGTGGAATAACCTGAGGCAAACACGGAGCGAACTTCAGCTTTTACTTTATTGTAGCAATAAAGGGTTGCCGCAGCTGCCGCGCTAACAAGGTAGCCAGCCGGCAGACAACAGCTGATGCCATTTGATAGCCGGCTCCCTTTTATAGCCGGCTGTCAAATGGCATCAGCCAATAGGAACGGTCCATGTTCCCGCTGGAAACACGGACCGGAGTGAAGACTTCAGCTCAGTCTTTTCTGAACGCCACAAAAGGTAATATTTTTTGTACTAAACAGGGCAAGCATTTAGAACAGGTTAATTTTAAACCTGTTTTGAAAAGGTGTTGGTTACTTTAAACTGTAATAAAGAGAGTTTTAAAGTTTTGAAGGACAACATATCTATATGATAGAACAACCTTTGGGCATGATTCTAGCTCACTCAAGTACATAACAGTTCACTACAACAACAGTTATG